GGACAGAGATGTGTGGATTAATGTTATTTTTATTTAATTTTGTTTTTATTTTTGTTGGCAATGTTCTAGCAATATTAAAGCATACATCAAACAGCCATCTTCCAACCTCTTCTGCAGCTAGAAATAAGTTTTGAACTCTTTCCGCTCTCCCCTCCTCCTGCTTCACAGCAGGTGCTCATGTCCGCAGACGACAGGCCCCGCCCCCCCACCGTGAGAGTTGTGCGGATTTTTTGCAAAATCTACAGATTTTTGAGGTTTTTTATACAGGTACACGTCCGAAGAGGTTGACATGTATGTTAAAGAAAGTTTGTGTAAATAATTTCACCATGAACTACTTTGGAAAAATCGTACTTTCAACTGGCGGGGGGCGGAGCTAACGTAAACAAAAGGTTGGGAGGGGGTTTCCATGGCAACTTATGCAAAGCAGCAGGTTCTGATCAGAGCTGAAGAACAGGCAGATCTGACATGGTGAAATTTCATTATCTGAGATTAATTTTGTGRATTAAATCAAATGAACATGTTTTGTATAGCCCACAGATGCTCCACCTCAAATGACCTGGACCTTTAGAGGCGTGGTCATAATGATGTGGCTCATCAGGATTATAACAAGCTAATAAAGTTTATTAACTTGTTGGTTAACTTGTTCTAGGTCTCCTTCAATAATGTTGTGCATCCCTAATAGTATTTCTGTGTTTTTTTATTTCACGTTTAGTCATACGCGTAGTACTTAAAACATTGTTTCTATGCAGGAAACACCACAAAGAGCTCAGTTATTGTTTGTTAGTGGTGCCCAGGAGTGTGATGTTTCGTGCTTAGTCAAAGTTCAACACGAAGCGTTGAAGTTAATTGCATCTCACTCTTTGATGACAGCTATAACTCTCATGTGAAAATGAGATGGACACCCCTGCTTTAAGTGCTGACAGAGCACAAGCAATAGGCATTCCCTCAGTGACTGCTAGATCTTTATTTATGCAGTGCTCCAGTTTCAGAGCAGTATACCTTTTCAACACGTTTAGCTTGTCTCGATGCAGGTTTGGTGTCCAGACGACCCTGGACCCACCGGAGACAAAGTCTCCTGAGAGCCTGCAGACACACAGCCAGCCTGGCCTAGAGGGAGAACGCTGGGGGAAACTTTAGCCTACAGAAGACTGCATTCAGTGGGCTGCAGACTGCACCGTCATGTTGGCTCCTTGTGACAAAGGGGCGCCTGTGTGTATCAGCGTGCGCGTATCTGCAATAAGAGCACACTTCAATTTATATTTCTCTCCCAGTCACACACACCAGAGTTCCACCGAGTTCACGTCAGAACAGAGAAAAGGAGAAGCCTGAGACTCTGCTGCGACTTGATACGAAGCAACGTACCAGCAAGCAGAGCTGCAGTGGCTCTGCAACCCAACGGTGACTCAAAGCCCACCCCGCAGTATTAAAGTCSTGTTCTAGTGGTAATCACACGCCTGTGATAATCCTGCCCACAAAAACATGCGCCGCAGTTCTAATTTCTACAGGGGCGAGGCTGTACGTTTGTGAGCACGTGTGTGGTCTTTGTCGTGCCCAGACCCTAAAATCCCTTCAACAACGTTCCTTATCCTCCCCTCAATCGGGTTTGACTTGCCTTACTGAAGTCCTCGGAGTCAAAGCATCATGCTAAAAATCAATATATTCAGCAGAGAGAGGATGAGATGATCCCTCCTCTGAGTGTTGGCTAATCCCTCGTGTTTTTAATCCCACTGAAACAGTCACAGGCTAAATCCACCACCTCTCAGATTTACTGGACTTWAAGTGTTGGGCTGTTTTTACAGAATGGACAAGGATTCCAACAACCTTCTGKAAACAGAGGAATCAGTTGAACTGAACAAAACCAACAGTGTGTAAGAGATGAGATGTTTGGATTTG